AGACAAGTATGTCCACAATCACTACTTCTATTTATACAGTTCTGGAAATATTAGCCAGAGCAATTAGATAAGAGAAAGAAATAAAGGAATAAGGACACGAAAGGAAGAAGTTAAGTTATCACAATTTGCAGGTGACAAGATACTCTACACAGAAGACCCACAATTCCGGCAAAAGACTATTGGAGTTAATAAATAAGTTCAGCAACATAGCTGGATACAAAATCAACAGTCAAAAGTTACTAGCATTCCTGTACACAAACAACAAACTCACTGAAAGAGAAATTATAGAAATAAAACCTTTCACAATAGCATCCCTCCAAATTCCCCCAAATATTTAGGAATCAATCTAACAAAGTGTGTAAATGATCTACATATTGAAAATTACAGTACGCTGAAAAAGAGGAGGATATCAGAAAATGGAAAGATGCCGCTTGTTCATGGATAGGAAGAAGTGACACTGTTGAAATGGCCGTACTCCCAAAACTGATATACAGGTTCAATGAAATCCTTATCAAAATATCATTAGCATACCCCAAAGATCTAGAGAAAACATTTCTAAAATTCATTGAAAATGGAAGAGACCTAGAATAGCAAAGGTTATCTTGGATAACAACAAAGCAGTCATCACAAATTCCTGACTTGAACTACAGTGAGCTACAGTGATAAAATCAGCACGGTACTGATAAAAAAAAAACAAACAAACAAAAAACAGACTTGAGGATCAGTAGAACAGATTAGAAAATTCATACACAACTACAAAGACACTCAGCCACCTTATATTTGACAAAGGGGATAAACATATTCACTGGAAGAAAGATAGCCTCTTTAGTATGTGGTACTGGAAAAATCAGCTTTCCACATACTGAAAACTAAAAGTAGACTCATGTCTATCACCATGCACTAAGCTAAAGTCACAATGGATCAAAGTTATAAATATTAAAACAGAAACACTAAATCTACTGGAAGACAAGGTAGGTAGAAATCTTGAAAACATAGGGGTAGGCAAAGAATTCATGAACAAAACACAAACCGTGTAGGAAATACTTCAAAGAATCAACAACTGGGATCTCATCTTATTACAAAGGTTTTGCACATCAAAATAAATTATTAACAGAGTAAAAAGAAAACCCACAAAATGGGAAAATATTTTAGCTAACTGTCCCTCAAAGAATTTATATCTAAAACATAAAAATTCAAGAAATTAGCTCCTCCAAGTTCAAAGATCCAATCCAAAAAAGAGCATCTGAGATGAACACACAGTTCTCAGATGAAGAAATACAAATGGGAAATAAATATGTGAAGAAATATTCTACATCCCTTGTCATTCAAGAAATACAAATTAAAGCAAAACTGAGATTCTATCTGACTCCAAACAGAATGATTATCATCAAAAAATCAAACAATAGTAAATTCTTGGAGGAACTGGGGGAAAAGGAACCCTTCTCCACTGTTGGTGGGAGTGTAGACTTGTACAGTCACTGTGGAAATCAGTGTGAAGATTCTGAAAAAAGCTAGAATTGGAAGTCCCATTCATGCAGCTATTCCCTTTCTGGGTATTTTCCCAGAAGAAATGAAAACATCATACCACACTGACATATGTGCACCCATTTTATAGAAGCATAATTTGTAATAGTTACATCTTAGAAGCAACCCAAATGCCCATTTATCATGCAATGGATAAAAAAGTTGTGGTATTTTTATATAATGAAGTATTACTCAGCTATAACGAAGGACAAACTTGAGGATTTTAGAGGTAAGTGGATACAATTTGAGATGGTACTCACGAGTGAAATAAATCAGACTCACATGTATGAATACTGCATTGTCTCCCTAATGTAAAAAACTGAAAGAGTAAATAAGAACCAAAATGTATAATAGATATTGCCAAAGTGAAATGGAAAGAAATTGCTCAAAAACAAAGAATAACTAGAATAGGGGAAAGGAGAAAAAAGAAAGGAAAAGATTATATACACACATATGTACAAGATAGATAACTACACTACTAATATCCATTAGTTCATCGAAAAAGAACAGTTTGTACTTTCATTGTTTGGTTGATCATTTTATGCCTATATTTTATAATCTGAACAACAACTTCAAAGACAAAAGTATGTAATATATTAAGCTGTGTTGATTTCCTATTATTGTTTTGAAATTTTGTATCATTGGTTTTTTTTTTTTTTTTTTGCTTTTAAAATAAAAAAAATTATCCTCTTCTTGTTTTCTGGCTGCTGCAGTTTTGTTGTCATTAAGATTTTGTTTCATTCAGCTTTGGCACTCCTTTACCACTTGCATTGTCTCTGTATTCTCTGAGTGATTTCTGGCTTATTCACTCCTCAGCATTGTGGTTTTTCCTTCTTTTATCGCTTTTCTTTTTATTAGATTTAAGTAAACATTCTGATTATGCCTGATGGCCTATTTCTACACAAATTGTGGTTTATGAGTTTGCTAGGCTCCTGAAACATCACCAATTTTCCAAGAAAGAAATAGTCGTGTAATTCTTTTGCCATATACTCGTTTAGTGAAATTCAAATAAAAATTGAATGTAAGAGAAGCTGAAGGTCTCACCTATTTTCAAGTTGACAATTCAGTTTGTTCTGCTTTCTTTGATGTCCTCTAAACCAAGGTCATTTCCAGAGACTAAAAATTCATTTTCTTGCTCTGACGAATCATTTCTGTTGTAGAAGGTAGTAGTGAAGCAGTGCTTCAACTGCTATTTAAAGTCTTTTAAGCAAATTTCCTGTTTTAGTGCCATATAATTATCTCCACAGGCATAATCTTGTACCAGAATTCAAAAGTCAATGTCATCATGGTCTATGACTCCAGGGCCTGGCTTGAATGCTACAGTATAAATTATAAGACTTCTTCCTGGGTTTCATATTTGCCAGTGTTGGTTTCACATTTCACATTTCACATTTCTTGGCAGTTTGCTATCATTTATTATATTTTTCTCTCTCTGTTGTAGTCAGTAGTTGCAAGAACAATCACATACAGGACTCATGATTTATAATACTATTTAGAATGGTCACTCAAGAAGTCAAACCCAAAGAAAGTGCAGGAAATCTGTCCATGAAGCTAAAGACGTAGAAAATCAGATGAGGGATTTGATCCCGTGGCAACAACCTGCATAAAGTCAGCTGAAAACCTAGAGGCCACAACTATGACTCATGCAAGTCTGTTTCATAGATCTGCACTGGAAAGGCCCAAAGGTCAGTGGTGAAAGCCAGAAAATCTATGTCAGCAGGAAGAAGGAAGCCAAGAAACAATGCTCAAAATAAGGACCAGGGCTCCCCCTAAAAAGTATGACAACCATCCTTATCGACAAGGTCCTAAGCTCCTTCAACAATAACAGTCATGTTCATAGCAGGAAGCCAGTGTGATAAGCTTCTCTTAGAGGTTGAACAGTACTCATCTTCCCTTTCAGAGTTAGGAAGAGATGGTCAAAGTAAGGATCAAAGCTTCCCCAAAGTGAACTGCAGCCATTCTCAATGACAAAGTCCTGAGCTGCTCTGATGTTAACAGCCAAGTTCATATCCAGAGAGCCGTACAACAAGCTCCTCCAGGAGAATCAACAGCTGCAAATAACAACAACACTTAGGAGAACTCACAATGCTACTCTTCCTCTCCGGGTCTCCTTTTTATGCTGGCAACAGTCATCAGGTGGGCCATTCATGCTCAGCACCATGCTGATTCATTTTAGCTGGTGTTTAAGTTAACCACCAGTTACCAATACACAACTCTCCCTCTCTCTCAACTTTTTTTCAAGTTTTTAAACCTGTTTTGATGTTTCTGGTATTTCATTTGTATCCTTTCTTCTTTTCCAATATCTTTTCAGTGATGAAGTTTAGTCTTCTTAAATATTTTTTAAAAACTTCTTCAAAGGTAAGCATACAAGTCCAATCTGCTATACTTTGTGAGAAGTTAGATTTCTTTTTGCAGACTCTTCAGGCCATTTGAAATAGTTTTCTATGCACATAAACTGTTCATAGTCTATGAGTAGTTACTAATTTGATTAATAAGTCATTTGAATGGAGTCTTGAAAATTTGAAAAGGTAAGATAGAAGACTAGGAAAGGAAAATTATGAAAAGTCAAAGAGTGATGGGCAAGATTTCTTCAATGACAATGACAGTTCAACAGCCTACATGGCAGCGTTACAGTCCCTGAAAGAGAGTCATCCATACCATCACTCCATCCCCGTTTTTTGGCTCAAGCACCCTTGTACAAAGAAAAATGTACTCTCGATGTGCATATAGGGACAAGCAAAACAAAGTCTCCAGTATTTTAGAAAAACTTCAAGATATCTGTAGTTAAATACAAACATTCTCCTTCTTTGCCATCGTTCCTCCTTTGCTTCTGACCACCATTTCCCATTCCATCTATTATTGGCCGTTAGTAGGAACAATAGTTTGAAAATTACTGGGGAAGCTGTGATTCCTTCCTCCACCAATATAAAAAAAAAGGGTTTTTATTTCCACAGAGTATTTATTATGTAGACTATGGACATTGCCTTTCTATTTCCACTACTGTCTTGATGATGAAAAACTTCCTGAGAAATTATAGATAGGAGAACTCTACAGTGTTGGTCCTGGTAACTTGCTATTGAAAATATTAGAGGATTTATACCACATAGTTTTCTCAAAAAGAGACTAAGAAGTGTTTTATCTTTTGTTTCTATAAATGTGGTCAAATTTGTGACTGTTTGCCCCCTCCTCCCTTTCTCTTTCTTTGGATTATTCCTTCCTTCCTTCCATCCATCCTTTCTTCTTTCCTTATAAACTATTTCCTAGAAATCATTAACTTATCAAAGAGACACTAAGCATTTGCACCCTTGTATGTAACACCTGTGTTTCTAAATGGACTACATTGCTGCATTACCATAGACAAGATCATGTGACTAGAATTAAGTGCAAAGATGAACAAAAACCATTTCATTCATCTTAAGATTTTATGCTTTTAGAATTCCATTTTTTTTTTTTTTTGTACCAGGGATCGAACCTATGACTGTGTGCTTGTCAGGCAGGTGCTTATACCACTGATTTATATCCCAGCCTCTGGTTTTATGCTTTTAAAATCACAAATTCCCAGCATGACTGAGGAGCTATTGTGAAAGGCTTTTTCACTCTCGCCATGGAAGGATAGAGGCACATCTGCCTCTTGTTCCTCTGCAGTGGCTTTAGTTTTGATTTGGGTGACACAACAGTCCCTGGAGTGGTTGGTAGATGACAACAATATTAGATTAGTGCCTGGTCCCTAAACTAGAATAACCTCACAAGCAAACACCCAGAAGTCAGGCCCCTTGTCAGGGCTTAGAGTTTGTGCTCAGCTCCCCCTGCAGTTCCTGCCACTGTGTCACTCAGAGCACAGTAGTACACAGCCGAGTCTGACGCCTGCACTGAGGCTTTCTTCAAGTGGAAGGAGCCGGTTTCTCTGTCATATGTGGCTTCAAAGCCTTTGTTGCTTCCCTTTTCCTTGTCCTTTGTGGCTTTCAAGAAGAGCTGTGGAGCTTTTCCAGGGTACTGGATATACCAGAACAGGAAAGGGAAGCCTGTGGTTTCATAGGAACAGTTTATGGTCAGGCGAGGTCCTTCAGGGAGAGTCATCTGACCCACCGTCTGGGTCACTGAGTCTCCATTGCTTCCTCCTAAAAAGAAAAAAATAAAACAGTAACAATTCCTGGCACCTTACTTTCAGCTTAATGTGGTTTTCCCTCAAAGAAAATTGTTGCTAAAAATGCATCAAAATCGAGTAAAAAACTGTAAACTTTAAGGGTCATTTTACTTACCAAACATTAAGAATAGTAGTACAATCAGTGGTCCTGGGGAACAGTCCATTTTCAGAGTATCTGGAGTACACAAATCTTGATTTGTTGATGTAAAGAAAGTTTAAACTCACTGTGAAATAATGAACACAAACTCAGAAGGAGAACAGGAAATGTGTGTTAGCAAGGTGCACCGCCTTGTGGGCGAGATACCAAATCTGATCTTTTAAAAGTCAATGCGGTATTTCTATCTCTGGTGTTTTTCTAGGATACCTGTAAGCCTTCAGAAGATAATCAGCAACTTGAAAAGACATTTGGCATTTTTCACAAACTTACTTTTACCATGTACACTGTCTTATTTGGAAACTCTATGTCACAATATTTCTACGAATAATTTACTTTTTATTGTTTTGTCATTTCAGTCACATTGTGATTCCCTGAGAAATCATATAATCAAGTTTTAAGACTAAATCAAAGGAATATCAATACATATTCAGACATCAGTGTCAACTTTGGATTGAAGAGACTGAAATTATTTGTGTGTGTGTGTGTGTGTGTGTGTGTGTGTGTGTGTGGTAATCCTGTAACTGCAATAATGTGAGAAACCTAGCAGAAAGTAAATATTTCTTACATATGTAAGTAAATGAATAAGTAAATGGTCTTTTGTTGGAGAACAAGATTAGTTAAAATACCATCTTGCCTGACATTTACATCAATTATCAAAGACAAAGTTAATTAAAACTTTTAAAATAAAAAGAAAACAGTCATATTAAATATAGATATATACGAAAATTGAGTAACAGCTGAGGATGTAGCTCAGTGGTAGAATATTTGTCTATCTAACCTGCACAAGGTATTGGGCTCAGCCTCCATGGAGTGCAAAAAATGTTGAAATATGTTTTAGTGTTGAAGACATACAATAAAGTTATTAACCCTTTATAAAACCATATGGTATTAGTTTCTTATGCCTATGGTATTAAGCATACCTAGATAACGTGATCAGCCTATGTGCATTAGGTGGATTTTTTCCTGTGCATGGTTGCTAATCTGTAGTTCTGATACTAAACTTTTCACTGAATTGTGTCTTAAGTGTATTTTTTGGCAAAATGTCCATCTGCCAACATTACTGGCCAACATAATGCAAGAAAGTTACTCTCACCACAGAAAGTTAATCTGTGTTTCCTACTGTTTAGCAGCATAATAAAACTTTCAATGATTGTTTCTTTCTTTCCTAATTAGTGCTATGTCACCCTTTGTTATTCAGTTACATTAATCCCAGGCCTGGTGAAACAGGGCCTGTAATATATTGATGTAATTTAAAGAAAGTGATCACACAATAAGGATATTAGATTTTTGGAGTCCATCACCACTTGCGTGGGAAAGCAGCGGTGCTGTCCTCAGAGAGAATATTGAGCTCAATTTAATTCACCTAAGCTTTGGATGAGCTTCCTGGCTGCCTATTTCCAATCTGAAGAGAGATACATAGGTACTAAATGTGGAAATGATTATCTTGGCCAATGCAATTAAAAATCAGCCTAATGTAGCCAAGTACAGTGAGTAGCCTGCACCTATAGTTTCAGCTACTGGAGGAAATGAAGTAGAAGGATCAGGATCACAAGTCCAGGAGTTCAAGGCCAGCCTGGAAGGCATAGTAAGTTCCCAGATTAAAAATAAAAAATGTAATACATGCATATGTATATATAATACATATTCCTACCTGCATCTACATGTATGTATGTTTGCATATTATATATGTATATACATGTATTTCTATATTATGTGTGTGATCAGATGTACAAAATTACAAAATTATAATCTAAACATGGGACCTCTACCTAGGAAAATGAAAAAAAATTCTTTGTTTACTTCAAGCAGAATTATGAAAATTCATTAATTTTAGATCAGTGGTGTTAATATAACATTTAGATAAGACAATGAAATATTGTTTTCTTCTCTGACACAACCAGAGTATCACATTCAGTTTTGTGTACCACACCATCAATGAGACATAGATGTAGCATCTATTGAGGAAATAAAGCTAAATGATGAAAGCATTGTACAATAAGATAAGAAATTATGTCTGAAGACATTAAACACAAAGTAAAAGTAAATATGCATTGTTTCTAGTATGCTAGAACTATCAATAGTGGACCGAGCCAAGAGAAACTTCTGAGAGGAACAGAAGACCTGAGAGTGATGTAGATAGGTCAGTAGCAGTTTTATATGGGTGGAAGTCAGCTCTTGTAAAATATGGGCAGTGTTTATTGTGGCCAAGAGCAAAGTTATTTTCTGAAAGACAAGCCTTTATTTGCTTTCAGACTCCTGGGGCTAAAAGAGATCAATTTCATGGACAATGAGAATAGAAAAACAAGCTTCTTATTTTCAGGCAAATAGGACCTGTTGCCTAAAGTAGAAAGTTTCCAAGGACTGTGATTATTCATAGCAACAGAAAATAAAGTATGTCCTCAGGATACACAATTTTTGCTTTTTCTCCTATAGGTTTTCTCTTATGCAGAAATTGTCAGTTTGAGAATTTAAATGTTAATAGATAATAGTTTTAATTTTAAGTATCAGAGCACCACACATGATTAGTGCCCCATGTCTCCCAAAGTCCCAATAATAGTAGAATAAAAATACAAAAGCAATGGAAGTGAAAAAATCCTGAAAAACTGTAAGAAGACTGTAAAGGAAAATGCAATGAGTAGTCTTTCAAGATGGCATTGATTGGAGGGATTAGAGATCAAGGAGTTTGAAAAGTATATTGACCTTTCATATGCCACCAAACTTGTAAGGGAAAACTAACATCAATTCTCAAACAGTCCCAAAAATTGAAAGAGAAAGACGTTTTCCAAACAGTTTCCATGAGATCAACAAAAACAGACAAGGATCAATGACAACTCAAAATAAAACAATAGAAAATTACCTTGCTGAACGCAGATGCAAAAATTCTCAACAAAATACTAATAAAAAAATTCTAGTAGCACATCAATATATCATTCCCCATGATCAAGTAGGATTTATCTTGTGTGATAGTTAATTGCATTAATCCAAATGGACTAAGAAACACTGAGTGGAGTAGTGGAATGTAATTTCCAGATGATTGATTTGTGAACCTCAATCTCAGGAAAGAAGACATGCCCTGGGTGTGGGTATCACCAACCAACAGGCTTGTGGTCTAGATGGAATAAAAAGGGAAAGGAGAAGCAAGTCTTCCTGTTTTGCTCCTTTGCCATCCTCTTCAGACATTCATGTCCATTTCTGAGGTTTCCAACCCAAACTCTTTAGCCTTCCTAAGCAGATCCTTTGGCTCTTGTGGAATATACTATGTATCACAACAGAACACAGAATAAAAGTCATACGATCTTCTCATATGGAGAGAAAAGTAATGATAGAGACTGTGAACAACTTAAGTATAGTAGAAATATACCTCAGGATAGTACAGAATATTTAACCCACAGACAACGCATAGTGATTGTTAAAACAACTGAAAGCATTGCCACTAAGATGTGGAACTGGAGTAGTATGACCACGCCCTTCATTTCTACTCAAGATAGTATTAGGAATTTATATCAGAGCATATGGCTAAGAGAAAGAAAAAAGAAATACAAGTAGGAAGCAAGAAAATCAAGATAGCCTTCTTTGCAGGTAATGTGATGCCACATACAGAAAAACCTGAAGATTTCACTTTTCTAATTATCAAAATGGATACATTCAGTAAAGTTACAGAATTTAAAAATCAGCACTTTTATACACTAAGCATTTCAACACTATTTTATTTTTTTATTGGTACCGGGAATCAAACTCACTACTGTGTGCTTGCAAGGCCGGGGCTTATGCCGCTGAGCTAAACCCCAGCCCCTTGACACTATTTTTGAAAGACATTATGAAAGCAATCCCATTCACAGTAATCAAAAATTTAAATACTTGAGAATAAGCTTAGCTAAAAATTCTATGATAAAAGTTATAAAATGCTGATCAAAGATATTGAAGTACATAAAAAATGGAAACATTTTCATGCTCATGGATTGTAAGAATTTAGATTGTCAAAATGTTCGGATGATCTGAAATTTCCTGTCAACAGTAAAATTCCCATCAGGGACATTCTTCATACAATTATAAAAAAAAATCTAAAATTCACGTAAAAGTACAAAGGACCCCAAATGCTTAAGCCAATCTTCAACAAAGAATAAAGATGGAGTCACTATACAATGCAAAAATCAACTTAAAATAAAGACCTATATGTGAAACGTAATACTATGAAATTACTAGAAGAGAACAGAGAGGATTCAAATCAAGCCATCAGCACAGAATTTTTTTGATGATAGACCCCGTGGAGATGGTTATGAATGAAAAGTAGACAAGTGGAATTACATGAAACTAAGAAGTGTGCATAGCAGAGGAAACAATGAACAGAGTAAAGAGACAGTCTAATAGAATGGGAGAAAGTATTGCCAACCTCACCTGATAAAGCATTAAAATACACAGGAATCATAAAAATTTAAAATAATCAATAAAAACAATTAATTAAAAATGAGCAAATTGGGCTGGTTGTATAGTTCAGTGACAGAGCACTTGCCTAACAAGGGAAAACGCTGGCTTTGATCCCCAGTACCAAAATAAAAAAGCAAAATTGTTGGTGATGATGTGATGCAAAGGAAACTCCTATACACTGTGGTGAGGAGGTAAATTAGCACAGCCATAAAGAAGACTATGGAAATTTCCCGAAAAGCTAAAAATGGTTCTAGCTGAGCTATTTCATTTGCAGGGGGAAATAAAAGGAACATACCAAAGATGTTGCTGAACTCCAATATTCTTGAGGTGCTGTTCACAATAGCACATATGAGACATCAATCTATGTGATCACTGCTCGATGGATGGAATAAATATTATATATTTATAGAATAAATGATGTATTAGTTAATACATATCAATAGTGGTATTGGTATATATATATCAGTTTATATATAGTATATAATTATATATGTATATATAGTGTGTGTGTGAGAAGTGGAAAGTTACTCAGCTGTAAAGAATGATGAAGTCATTTGCAACAAACTAGATCAACTAATAAACATTATA